CATACCTGTTCATCATTTTTCGGAATTCGATGAATTTTTACTCTGTTCCCTCGGTTTTCACACATTGCCACACAAGATAAAACCATTTTGCTTTGAACGGAGAAAATTTTCAATCTCTGATTCAAATTATTAAAAAAAAATGGAATATGTCAAAATTTGTCAAAATATAATGAAAAAGTAAAAGTGAAGCGACGCTGCCACATTTCAAAACCATGGGATATTTGTTTTGAAAAAGAAATGTAATTTCAAATCGTACTACTAGCAATTATATGTTAGCGAGGTACACGATTATTTTTTCCTATTGTTGAAAGCTTTTTAAAACAAATAAAGAATAATCTGGACTTTTTATGTATAATTCTGACAACAGCATTGGGCGACAGCACCTCTGCCGTCTGTAGTCGCAAGCTTTTAGCGGAACAAATTGCGCCATAAGAGTTGCACATGCATGATCTCAACGTCACAAGCGCTGTCAAATTGAAATTTCGTGTTTTCGCGCCAAAGTATTTCATTTGAATTTCAATAATTTTTTTTCCTACGAGCGTGCGCAAAGTAGTACTTTTCCGCACGCATTTCGGTTCTCAAAGTTGCACTTTTCCGCACTCAGTGCGGATACAGGCCTTATCCGCACTGAGTGCCGAAAAGTAAAAATAATTGTCAAGCAACAATAAGTACACCTGTTGACTTTGACACATGATGACAAATTTTTCCTCTGTTCCTGTTCCAGCTAACATCTATACCTACAAACACCAAATTTAATTAACTTCAACACATTGTCAGATTTGTTTTCTATATATATGCATCTACAAACTATCTCATCAAATTTATAGCATTTTCCATTTGTCGAAACAGGGCAAAAAAATGTATCCTTATCCTTACATGTTACATGCTTTTAGAAAAAGATGCGGATGCACTCAGTGCGGCACTGATGACAAATGGAAATCGCCATTAAACGCTTTAAGATGAAGAGCTCTGACGATGATTTTCTGTTATATTTTTTTTTGTTATGTAATTTTTTGATAAATGCATAGGTTCCCTTCAAGTTAATTAAAAATAATTAAACAAATTATCGTTTTTTTTTTAAATTTTTGTTGTTACCTACCTGATATGAAGCTCGTAGGAAAAATTTTGTTCCTAACACGTGCGCAAAGTGTCTTTTCCGCACGCAAACACGTATCCGAACTCCGCTTCGCGTCGTTCGTATAACTGTGTTTGCGTGCGGAAAAGTAACACTTTGCGCACTTGTTAGGAAAATAACTATTTTCGTACAACGTATAAATTAAAATGGAAAAAAAGAAAATTATGTTATAACTGATGACTAGAAGTATCTAAAAAAAAATAAAGCCTTATACAAGGCTTTTTCTTTTTCGATTTTAACTTGACTAACGGAAATGCATGGTTAAAAATTTCAATATTATCACAATGAAATGAATGCAGAGCATTTACCTTCAGCAAAATCGTTCTCCAATCAAATCTAGAGTAAACTTGTGAAAAAACAATACAAAGCACAACACTTGACGGTGAAGTTGCAACAAATAAATATTTTAACATTTTAAGGGTAAGTCCTGGGTGTCCATGTGAAATGTAGGTAAAGCAATCTTGCCCAAACAATAGGGATTCCGTAATTGGGTAGAAACGGCCGAAAATTGAGACGCACACAATAGAAAATGAGTATTTAATTATGATCACAGAACATATCACCTCTAGAAAAGTATCTGCAATGGTATGTACCGGTTATGAATTACGGCGCCCTCGTTGACTGAAAACCCAACTAATCGAGTATTCTTGACAAAAAGGCGAATTGATTTTTTTCATATATTTTTATTATTTTTGTATAATTTTTAATGTTCAACTGCATTTGGCTTGCTGACTCCTCTTAGCTCTTTTCGCCTCATTTTTTCAAAAACTATGACTGGCAGGAAGTTTCCAATGTCGAACATAGTGCAAAAAGAGTTAGTAAGTTAGCAAGAGACACGCAGATATAGGTAGATCGCAAAGTAAATACGAATAATAAATACAAATACGAACGAAACGAAACAAACGAATAAATACAAAAAAATACGAACAACAAAACTTTTTGAATTTTCACTTGTAACGCGCGTGGAAACCATTCTGTGCCGTGGGGTACAACAACACAATTTAAAAATTCAAATTTTGACTTTTAAAATGACAAAACCAACCAACACAAATCACTGTCCACACCACAGATACCTGTAAATTTCTCTTATCTCCCGACAGTGTCGCCATCGTTGAAGGAAAACCTAACTAAAAACCTTTGTCGCGATTCTTCCATTTGAGATATTTTTCTATAGGTGATATGTTCTGTGATTATGATCATTAATGACATAACGTAATGACGTTATGGTTTGTTTTTGTGTCAAATGTTTGTGTGCCTCTTGTCGGCCATATTTTGTCACGTGTTTTGGATAGTCTAATAGGTCATTGCTTTTAACCCAATTTGCTACGTTTTTTCGTGAACCGCACGGACTATACTAGATGCGTGTTCTTTGCGTTCAGCTCGTTCGGGTTGAAATCTTCAAGTCTATATCGGTATTTCCGAGGGTATTTAACTTCTTTGTACCAAATTTTTATTTTTTTCACAAAATTAGCTTGAGTGATTCGGTAGGTACCTACGTTTACCTACCCAACAAACACAACTTATCGGCGCTGTAATGTTGCTGTATCACGAGCACAGCCCAAATACAGCACATAAATAGTTTTATTAATGCTGCGCAGCACTTGTATTGGGAATACTGTATTTTTGAAGTGCAGTATTTGATATGCAGCGGCTTTGCAGATTTTGTATTGGAAAACTTGGAAAAGCGATAGATTATTTCGATCTCCCATGCGCATATTGATGCAACAACTGTTGTAAAATGTTAGTGCAATTACTGTAAAGAAATGTGCCTATTTGCGCGAGCACAGTATTTTTTGCCGTAGAGTTGTGAGCGTAGCCATTTTGTTTTATTTTCTTGTATTGTATTGTTTATTGTTTCACTGATGCAGGGCAGTGTTTTTGATTTATAATTTTTGTGGTGCTTTTCACGTGTCTTTTATCTGTGATTTGTATTACTACGTGTACAAGATGCATTATTTTCAACAAGAGGAAACAAGGTAGGTGAAAAATTGATACAAATAAACAAAAGCAAGTTTTCTATCGTTTTTGTATTTGCCCCCATTTTCCGTTTTCTATTTTTGTGATTTAAAAAATGGATTTACAAAAGAGAAATAATCTTTCAGGAAAATAGTCTTGGAATATTAGGGTGCAAAAACACTGAAGATGTATGTAGGAACACATTAGCCAGATTATTATCTAAAAATTCAACTCCTCAGCGGATTAGACAGGGCAAAAAGCACAATTTTCAAAATATACCTATATTATCGACATCAATAAAGCAATTTAGGTGAGTTGATGCAAGGTAAAACGGTTTTTAAATTTTAACTCAATTTTGTCCTTATTTAGTCGCTGTAAGAAAAAATAAAGCCAGTCAGAATGCGTCTCAATCAGAAGCTGAAAAAGCCACCAAAGTATGGTTGAGGAATAATAGTATATTATATACCTAGGTAGAGAAGTTGCAAGCTCAAGCATTATAAACCTCGGCGCTGCGCGCCTCGGTTTATAAAAGCTTTCGGTATATAATGACTTTCTCTACCGAGGAATATATGGAATTTTTTTTACTACCTACTGCTAGTAAAAAATAAAAAATTTGTTTAAAATCTGTGTTGTAATTATTTTTTGTGAACGCCCTCTTGAAAGTGCTGCCCTCTATCAACAGCTTATATAACTTCCTATGTACCTACAGAAACCTGTATTTTTTTTCAAATTGACGTATGAAATTGAAATTGAACCAATAGAAACATGACAATATCCTTGCGTCATGACGTCATTTTCATTATTGACCTAGGTATTTTTTCATTATTTTCATTATTAACCTAGGGAGAGAAATTCAATTTTTTCTTAGAAAAATAGATTGAATAATGTCTATTTCTCAGGTTGGTATTAAAAATAGTATATTATATACCTAGGTAGAGAAGTTGGTCATTATATACCGAGCGCTTTTATGAACCGAGGCGCAAAGCGCCGAGGTTTATAATGCGTGAGGTATATAATGACTTTCTCTACCGAGGAATATATAGAATTTTTTTTACTACTGCTAGTAGAAAATAAAAAATTTGCTTAAAATCTGTGCTCTAATTATTTTTTTTTGAACGCCCTCTTGAAAGTGCTGCCCTCTATCAACAGCTTATGATAACTTCCTATGTACCTACAGAAACCTGTATTTTGTTTTAAATTGACGCATGAAATTGAAATTGAACCAATAGAAACATGACAATATCCTTGCGTCATGACGTCATTTTCATTATTGACCTAGGGACTTTTTCATTATTTTCATTATTCACCTAGGGAGAGAAATTCAATTTTTTCCTAGAAAAATAGATTGAATAATGACTATTTCTCAGGTAAGTAGTAAAAAAAAGAATATTATTGTTCAATGTCCCACACCTTAATATATTCTATATAGGTACTTTAATTTGCTTTGTTATTTTTCAAAAATATCTTGCCTATATAAAATAAATTATGTTCATTAAATTTAGAGTGCCACAGGTAAATATACCTAAACGGTATATTGGCTGCACAGTTATTGCGAAACAAATATGTACGACGTCTTCAAGTGCGCTGCGCTATTGCTGTGTAAAAATAGCATAGGTAATGAAGAGGCAGAGCTACTGCATTCAAATGCAGCATGAACAGTGCAGCGCCAGATGCAGGCCGGTGGGACATATATGATCCGGGCTGATGCAGTTGCTTCGTCTACATCGCTGTACAAGTACAGCACAGTATCACAGTTTTGGCGCAGCGGCAATATTTCAGTGTTCGCTGGGTACAAAAAAAGCTCTTTCTTCCCACCAAATATTTTGTAACTTATTCACCAATTTTTCTCTGTTGTATAATATCGTACCGGTACTTGTTATTGAAGTCTCTCAAATAAAACTACTAAAAGTATGTAATTTAAGTTTTTATTATAATAAAAATATTGGTGAAAAATTTAACAAACACAAACACAAATTTCATTGGATATCAAATACAAACTGAGCAACTGATTAAGCATTGTATTGTCTATTCACAATCTGTAGGTCCAAAGGTCCCTACAGGTAAAATGTATCACCTTTCAATGCTATTTGATAGGGAAAGGTGATAAATTTACCTGTAACTTTGGACTACAGATTGTGAATAGGCTATAGTTGAGGATAATAAACTCAAAAGCTAATATTTGAGAAGAAAAAATCATATCATATCACATATCAGAAACTTATAAATCGTAGTCTGTAATAGAAACAGGAATCCATGCAATAATTTCGTGCACAGCAAACATTGAGCTAACATAAAATTTCCTTTCGTATTCAGATTCTTTAGCTGCTATGCCTATAATGGGGTGTCTGCCAACTATTTGCTTGCTAGCATACTCGTTCAAGCGGAAATTTTTCCAATTGTTCACTTGGTAGAAGTACACCTAAAATGAATATAATCAATGGCAAATTTCCTGCTTAAAACGTCGAAACTTAGGTGCATGAAGCTTTCGCCACATAAAAAGTTCATACTTGTGCTATAAAACGTAAAAATGAATTTCACGATTGATTCAAATCGAAAAGTCAAGAGGAAAAATAGCAGAGGCGGCTAGTGCCTTTCTTTAAACATGAAGAGAGAATTCAGCCTTAGTGGATGGCAAACTCAAAACTCACAACAAGCACCAATCATACCGATTCTGCTTTCCTTTTTCATTCGCAATTCGTATATACAGGGTGGGCCAATGGAAACTTTCCACCTTGATTTTTTGGCTTTCAAATGAAAATTTGAAAAAACGCTCGGACATGTCGATTTTTGATTTGAGGGGGAACCATTTTTCAATTTTTTTCATCCCCGTAGCTTTAACCCCCTAGCTGGGGGGAGAACAACCCCCCAAATTTGAATAGGGGATAGGGATCGTGTCATACCTCCTTTCAAAGGTTTCATCGAGTTCTTTATGACTCTGGAATTTCGTCTTATTATTTCCATCCGTAACGAAATGACAGCTTGTCAAAATCTTGGAAATAGCCTATTGTTTCAGTAGGAATAAAATCGATACCTACCTGCCTTAATAAAAATACTTACCATTAAAGTTTTTTTATTATTATTAATAATTATTATTAATTATTAAACATAATAAAACAACTTTAATTGCAAGTATCGCTTCTACTCCTACTAAAATAATGGTCTATTTCCAAGATTTTGACAAGCTGTCATTTCGTTACGGATGAAAATAATAAGACGAAATTCTAGAGTCATAAACAACTCGAAGAGACGTTTAAAAAGAGGTATGACACAACCCCTATTCAAATTTGAGGGGTTGTTCTCCCCCTAGTTAGGGGGTTAAAGTTACGGGGATGAAAAAAACTGAAAAATAGTTCCCCCTCAAATCAAAAGTCGACGAGTAGGAGCGTTTTTCTAGATTTTCATTTCAAATCCAAAAAATCGGGGTGGAAAGTTTCCATTGGCCCACCCTGTATATACCTATATGAACTACGCCCAACCACAGCTTAACCCTAGGCAAAATTAATTTTCGATAAAATGTCTTCATAAAATATACGCTGTGACTAGAGTCTCGACTCGGGATCCACGTCCAGTCCCGAATAAGGTCATCGAATGATGCCATCAGTAGTTTAGTTGTCGGGACTGGGTATAGGTTCCGAATCGAGACTCGCAGACTCGTATATGGTCCCGAAATTATAAGAAGAATCGCAATAATTCCTTCATTGGCGTTCTTTCGCATAACATTCCACACATTTCGCACAAAATATTTTTTAGCGTCCTTTTTGGACAACCTTTTTTGTAAAATATTCCCATCGATCCAAAACGACGTCCGACAGTTTCCTTGGATTATTTTCTATATGGGAATCCACAATGTTTTCACCAGTTTAAATAGAATAATATGCTCGTTCTTCTTCTCTCAAAATCCAAGACAACATCTCTTGTTTTCTTTCTATTACCAAGTTAGAAAAAGTCAACTTCGTTTTTCCTTTTTTTTATACCGATTGTGATAAGATCAGAACATTTTGGTCTACCTACCTCTTTTTAATTGACTCTGTATCTACATAATTAGACATATTTTTATTATTATTTACATCTTGCCAAATTTTATTCGGCAATAGCGAGTCACCCCCGGGTTGGTTTTAACTCCAAGGTTAACGTGTCGACTGACGAATTTCAATGTTTACCCTGGAGTTAGTTTAACCCGGAGGTGACCTGTTATTGAGAAACCGGCCCTAAAAGATAATACATATTTGGGTTATCCGTGTAAGCAAAATTTTTTAAACTTTGTGTGAACAGTAAAATAATCACCACCGCCAAGCTCAATTAGCTATTACATATGCTTGCTCTTGGTGAATATTTGAGATTTCCACGTCCTTTAAAACAGATATTGCAATTAGGGACCGTAAGCGAGTCCCGAGTCGGGGCGGAACATCAGTCCCGACAAAACTAATGATGACGTCATTCGGGACTGGATATGGATCCCGAGTCGGTCACAGTGTAAAATATATTGTAGATGTAGATAGTTCCCAAAGCAATATTATGCTCACTTAATAAAATAATTATTGTTAACGACCCAAGAATTTTAATTTTTTTTAGGGAATGTGATAAATAATTTCCATAAAAGGAGAAAGTGCACAGTCTATGCATGAAGAGTGAATTTCTAAATATTATTATTATTAATTATATGTAGTTTTCAACAATAAACGGATAAATCCGATGAGACTGTTGAATGTTGAGTCTATTCGCTAAGTTCACTAGGTTTGGTAGGTAGTCACTACAGGCGGTTCTTGAACTGGTTCTTGGAAGCTGAGTCCATAGTGGTAATGCTATTAAGTTATTCAAGTGGTAAACCACCCTGTTGATAAGAAAAAAATTTCACAGCATGTTACATTTTTCTTCAGATAGTTTTTGATTATTACTATACAGGGTGGGGCATGAAAAACTTCCCACCCCGATTTTTTTCTCAAGTGTCAGGTGATTAATCAAAAATCGCTCGCACACGTCAATTTTGGTTTTTTGGGGGACACATTTCATTGGTATTTTCACCCCCTACCTATCAACCCCTAAGCGGGGGAGACAGTTACCCCCAAAATTTCAAATGGAAAGGGGGGTCGAGTGATACGTCATTTAGTAGGTAGCTATTTTTATTAAGATTATATCCCCCAAGTTTTGAGCTGCTACTATTTACCCTGTCGAAATGGCGGCTTGTCAAACTTAGGAAAAATGCTTTTTTTCGAGTATCTGAACTGTGTGTTTTTTATCATATAATAACAAAACAACAAATTTTTTAATTGTACCTATCCATAGTAATAAAATAGCATTGGTATTTAATTTAAATATTGTCATTCAACAGTTCAGTTTAAAATGGTTCATGTTTAGGTATTCACTTGAAAAATCTGTTGTTTTGTTATTATGAGGTAAAAACCATACAACTTTGACAAGTCGCCATTTCGACAGGGTAAATAGTAGTAAATTGAAACTTTGGGGATATAGTCTTGATAAAAATAGCTATCAAATGACGTATCACTCGACCCCCCTTTCCATTTGAAATTTTGGGGGTACCAGTCACCCCCGATGAGGGGTTGACGGGTAATAAAGGGGTGAAAATACGAATAAAATGTGTCCCCCAAAAAACAAAAAATGACGTAACCGAGCGATTTTTGATTAGTCAACTAACACCTGAGAGAACCTGGGTGGGAAGTTTTTCGTGCCCCACCCTGTACCTATTAAGTGAGTGTTTGAAAGTTTTGTTGAATTGTACCAGTGTATTGTATCCTGCCTTTGGATCGGTTTTGTATCCTGTTGTTGTGACCGAAACTGAATTGGAAAATATCTCTCAAACTGCATGCATAGTAATTATTTAGTATTTCAATCGTTTCTCTAGTCCTGTCTTTTAATGTTGTTAGGTTTTTTTCATTTCAAATGGACTGGGCGTATTCTAGTTTTGGTCTTGTGAATAACCTATTTAGTTTTAAGATCATTTATTTTGAAAAATTTTCAAAGGAACTGCGACCATCTTTTAATGATACTGAGGTCGTTTTGGGGTGCCATATGATGTTGAAGTGGATTAGCATAAGTATTTCCATCATCAACATGCATTTTTGGTTTGAAGTTCTGGTAGAGATCACTTCAGTGAATAATAAAGAGCGAAGGTCCTAGGACTGACCTTTGATGACTTCGCCTTGTACAAAATCCTTTTCTGATCACTGTAAGAAGCCTAGCTTAAGTTGAGGGAGTTGCAAATGCTGATCTCTTTGTCAGAAACTGTAGTATGGATCGCTAGAAAAAATTTATTAACTGCCTTTGTTATTATTTTTTTAATGCATTAACATAGTGCGTAGACTGATTAGTCTGGACTTTTCAGCCTGTGGTTTGTTACCTTTTTGTAGCTTGGTGTAGGTAACCAATGTTTTCTTCCATGCATTCTGATAATATTGTTAGATTAGTCGGCCAGTGGCTCCTTTAATATCTGCAAACAGTTTTTAAAAAATATTGGTGGAATCTCAAGTCCCGGATAAGACTAGTTTTTAGTGATTTGATTGCATTTTCCACTATTTCCGTTGGAGATTTAAGTGACTGTCGAGTTATTATGTTGACTAAGCTGAAGTTGTTATGCTCTCAGTTCTGCAAGGTTCATGGTACCATTGATATACGATAAAACTGTTGTTGGGTTGGAAATTATATTATGTTCATAGGTTTTCCTAGCTGTCATGTTTTTGTTATATACTTGGTATCTATCTTATAAATAGTTTTCTTGAGTCTTTTATTTATATATTTATGTCACAAATCTTTTTTGTTCCGAATCTTCTTTGAAGACTTTCTTTGGTTAGCCACGGTTTTTGGCTGTTAATTTTTTGAGGTTTAACAGATATAGAAATAATTATTATAAAAGTTTGAACTGCCTCCTAAAAACTTTACCTGTTGACTGAGTGGTCACTTGCAGTTGAGTTTTGGCTGTAATACCTATGTGTTCTCTTTTTTCCAATTGGGCATGTTGCTGGATATCAGACAATTTTTTTTTTTTTCATTTTCTATGGGTAATAAGTCTAAAAGTGACATCTGCTCGTTTCGAATTGGAAAGTTAATATGTTAATAATTGTTAATGTGCTCTGAGTTTTGTAGCATTTCAAAAAGTCATAGTTATACTGGTTGTGAGGATGGACCAGTGTATCTAGGTCAATTTCTGGGGAGTTGTAGTCTCCCATGCTATAGACAGGATCTCTGGGTCGCTGCAAACAACACTCTCAATTTTTTTAAGTAGTTTTTTGTTTGGGTCCATAAATGCATACTACTAAGAATTTAACCTCAAAAATTCTAATTTCAAGCCATAGAGATTAAACTGCTTCTACTATTTGGGACTTTTGATAAAGCCACAGATATACCCATACCAACTGACCCGCCAGCTTTGCCAAACATGGAATAACCTGGTATGTGTAAAATAAGGAAGGCTATGAGGTATTTTGTCATTTAACCTTGTATCGATCAGTTTCATGGTGGCACAAGCATTCTGTATGCTTACTCGTAGTTCATCGAGCTTATTTGTCATGGAATATAAATTAGTATACCAGAAGGACTAAGAATAAGGGTTTGTTAAGTTTTTTGTATTTTCGTTTTGTGTGAAAACTATTTTTGGAACATTACTGATGCATAATATTGGCCTCTCCTTGTTTTTTTTTCAGTCTTAAGTACGTTCTTTGAAGAGGTTTTGGTCAGCCTTAAAGTAGATATTCTCATTATTTTTGCTCTTATTTTTAGGATCTCTCTAGATATGTTTGTTGATGGAGTTATGATTCATATGGGTCTAATTTTGTCCTAGGCGAGACGCTAGACTTTGATATCTTGCTTTTCGCTGTCATCTTTAACGGGTCAATTCTGTGCACATCTGTAAGGAAATCTACAAATTTCTATAAGCCTATAGACACTGCAAAACGCATCGATTGCCGAAAACCCGATCAGAAATATTACGATCCTATAAGATATTCTGTAATCTACAGAAAGTGCAGAATTGCAAATTGTCTATAATAGGCTTAAAGAAATTTATAGATTTGCTTACAGATGTGCACAGAATTGACCCATATGTCTCTTAGTCAAATCCAGATCGATGTCTTTTTCATTTTTGAGTACCTTGCTCGGCCATTTCACACAAGGTAATTAGTTCGATCGGTATGTTTCCTGTTGGGCTGTACGGCGTATAGGAGAGGTTTTTTGTGAATTTACTTCGATATGCAGTTGTTGGATTTGGTTTCTAAGATTAGAAGTATCTGCGACTATCTGAGCATATGATGAAGCATTGCTTCCAATTTTATCCCTGAGTTCTTCAGTATCTTTTTCAAGATTACCGATTTTCTGGTCCCTTAGTAATTGGCATCTTTTTTGAAAGTATTAAGCAATCGTCTGTTTTTTTTTTCTTTTGGTACCTATATGCTTTACAGAGGCATTCTGGAGAATTTCAAGCAACCGTAGTATAGTTTCTGCAAAAAATACTCTTGCACAAATCGCAAACACAGCCATAAAGTTCTTTTATTTCTTTTGACTTTGTTGGGTCTATAAAATAACAATTCCCATTGCACTTAGAATATTTTAGCTTGGTCACCTTGTTACTATTTGTGTTTTAAATTTAGTTCAAATATTCCAGGCCATAAGTAGTTCGCAGATAATAGTAAACAATATATGTTTTTTTTTTTATTGATAGTAAACTTTCCTATTTTTGCTACCTATTTTAGTTGAATACTATCAGATGCTATTATATTCGCTGGTGGTTGTTATGATAAATCGTAATATGTATTCATAATAATCGGTATAAATGAAGCTATTGTTACATTTGGATGCCTAGTTCATGTTCCACGCGTTTGTGATGGAACGACGAGGACCGGAATCTAGTCAAGCAGCTAAGTGAGAAAAAACGCTATTTTGACCTAGTACGAAAAACGTTACTTAACAACCATAATAAAATGTTTGTTTTTTATGAAAAAACAGCTATTTTACTAATGCTAAAGCTAACTGAGAAGTGGTGTTATATAATATAAAGAAGCCGCTTCCTAGAGAAAAACTCACCGTGCCAATATCAGTCCCAATAAGAAAACTATTTCCGTAAAGGAAAATGCAAGAAATTTTACTCTTGAATATGTCCCAAACATTGAACAATTTTTTACTGTATTGGCTGTCTGCACCCATGATAATTATTTCAATGTAATCTTCTATTATGTCATTACATGTTGTAGATCTATCTGCATTTTTATCTGAAAAATAAAATAATTCCATAAAATTTATAATATTAAATACTCTACCAAACGATACACTTACAAATATTAATAATAACGTTATCTCTCAAAATTCGTGTAGTATATCTATCCAACAATAAAGGGGCATTAAACTTAACACCCATAACATATTTCATTTCCTGCATAGGTGTGATATCAGCCTTATCATAGTGTAACACGTTTATGTTGCCATTAATTAGGAATGTACATTTTCCATTCCACATTTTATAAGCTGTCAAGCAACGTGGGGAATATATTCTTGTAAACCAATGTTCTTTCACGTTATTTCTGCTATTGAAATTTCCTTTCAATATTTCCATTATAGTCATTCTTCCTCCAACTTGTTCTATGCAAATATAATTTCCATAAATGCTGCATACATAATTATAATGTTATCATTAGATAAAATACATTGTAACATTATTCAAAATACCTATGCGACTTTATATCTGAAATATCTTGGTGATATTTGGTGATCCCATTATATGATAAAACTGATATGCCTTTATGGAAAGCAATTACTAAGCAAATGTCAATTTCCTTATCACCATTGTAATCATTATCTACGAAATTACCAAAAATTATCGTTAGTATTAAAAAAAGTCATAAAACTTGCTTCCGATAAATGTTATGTTAGTCAATTTAACAGACACAATCCGATAATCAAAGAGTAATTGCCAGTGCTTGGTAAATAGTGCCACTCTCCCATCTTCAGATCCAACAGCAATATGACCACTTGAAACAGCTATGCTGGAAATTTTTCTAGCACTGTTAATACTTTTAGAATTCAAATTAGTACATAGAGTTGGTTCCAAAATGCGAGGGTTGTGCTCCCAGGTTCTCCAATTGGTGTAGACATGATACCATTTTTCTTTGCCATCTTTATGGTAGAAAGATAATAATTCTACCAATTGTTCTGAGGGTATTTCTTCTTTGCAACACCATTCCCAAATTCTGGTTCTCTGAAAATTAGAACAATTTGGGTACCTACTATGTTATAATACTGGTTAATTACTAACTGTGGTAAGTGAATGTCTATTAAAATCTATCAATCTATCTTAAATTTCTGAAGTTTATATTAAAAGTTATACGATTTTCTCGTAGCATGGCATAAATCTATAAAGTCGCCATACCAGTGATAAACGATAATCAAAGTTCTTACAAAAAAATATTCTTCTTTGTCGGTAATGGGGGCGCCGGCCGCCTGCATTTAGTCTGGATAGTTAGTGCGGTGTCACACTATGCGTTTTTAACGCTGCGGCAAGAAAGGATGCATTTTGACCGGATGAACTCTACTTGTCACACTTATCCCATCGGGATCCGTTTTAACGGGATGATCTGTAGTGGTAGATTCATGGCGAATTTATTAAAGATTATTTTAAATAACCTTTCTCATCTTTCTCTGTTGAGTCAAGCTCCATCCAATTCTCTCATAGTTTCTCCAAATTCCACCCAGGCTTTCTCTCTACAGTTTTTATCTGAGTATTCTTTCGACCTTTTCTCCCATAATACTTATTTACCGTAGACGCACTCATAGGATAGATCTACGTTAAACATGATGAAATGTAATGAAAAAACAAACCACGAACTCTGAAGAACCGCTGCGTTCGAACCGTCAGGTGTGACTACAAACATACAATTGCACGTGTTTTCGTTCTATTGCGGTCGTCCGGTCGTGCGGTGCCGCCGCAGCATGATGCGGTTGCATCCGGTTTGGGTGCGGTACAACGCTGTATGTGACAGCTCCGATTTAATACAATGGGTTTACACCATTCCCTCAAACCGAAGCGTTCTTGCCGCAGCGGTGAAAACGCTATGTGTGACACCACACTTAGTGCGGTGTCACACTACGCGTTTTTAACGCTGCGGCAAGAAGGGATGCGTTTTGACCGGATGAACTCTACTTGTCACACTATCCCATCGGGATCCGTTTTAACGGGATGTTTCGCCAGTCAAATTTTGGTAGCGTAGCGGTAGTATCATGGCGCATTCATTAAAGATTGTGTGTGCTCTAGAAGAGGATGATTTATTAGGAAAGGAGGTGGATCGTCAATATGGGATTAACCCTTTCAATTTGGACGAGAGACTAGTGAAAGGTTTGCAAAGTTCTACGACAACATTCGAATGTACGACTGTGTATTCTTTCGACCTATTCTCCCATATGAATAGATCCACCAAGAGATCCACGTCAAACATGATGAAATTTAATGGAAAAACAAACCACGAACTCAAAAATATCTGAAGAACCGATGCGTTCGAACCGTCAGGTGTGACTTCAAACATACAACTGCACGTGTTTTCGTTATATTCCGGTCGTCCAGTGCCGCCCAAGCATGATGCGGTTGCATCTGGTTTAGGTGCGGTACAAGGTACAACGCCGTATGTGACAGGTGCAATGGGTTTTTATGGTTTACACCATCCCGGCAAACCGGAGCGTTCTTGCTGCAGCGGTGAAAACGCTATGTGTGACACCACACGGGAGGCGACCGTGTTTTTCCTACCCCGATCGAGATATGCGTTGACACTATATCATATCGTATTATGTGCATCTATTAACCGGTATGGTATGAGGCGATGTGTGGCCCGCCCTGTGCAATTTTTACTAGCATATTATTGTATACCAAGACCAAGTGATTTATTTGCATGTATTTTTTACAATTACTTTATAATGTTACTCTGTTTTACAATGTACTTAATTTAAATTGTGTTTAATCTTGTTTTTTTTTATGCTTTCCAATATGTTTATGTGTTTTATAGTATTTGTATTTCTATGTTTTGTTTTTTATGGGTGATACAGGGTGAGTCACTATATTTTGACACCCACCTGCAGCCGTAATTACAGGTGATAGGTAAAAGGTCATACATACAAGTAAAAGATTTTTTTAAAGTAAATTATTATACTTATTTATTTCCACTAATTTTTGTTAAACTTTAACATTTTTCGCTACACTGTAGCTTCATCAGAAAGATGTAGACATAAAAGTGATGAAGTTACAGTGTAGCGAAACATGTTAAAGTTTAACAAAAATTAGTGGAAATAAATAAGTATAATAATTTACTTTAAAAAAATCTTTTACTAGATAATGAATTTCCACCTTGTAACAGCCGATTCAATAATAAAAAAAAAAAAAAAAAAAAAAAAAAAAAAAAAAAAAAAAAAAATTTGATTCACAATAAGTTGTAAGAATTTGCTCTTAATTAAATTCACATTAAACAAGATTCATTTTGTAGCCACCTAGATGTTATAAACATCTGTATGTGCTCTAGATGTAGGTGCCCAATATTTTTAATTTAATGTTAGGGATATATTATACAATTAAAGAGAATCAAAAAATCGAAAAAAACATCACAAATACTTAGACGGTTTGCGAACACAAACAGTTCACAACCTCTTTTCCCCTATTTAAGAAGAAAAACGACAAAGAAAAAAGAAAGTAACAAAATAAATAATCGACAAAAACCCCGTTATCACCCACTTAACCCCATTGCCAAATCAAACCTAATTTAACTTAATCCTAAATTAAACCTACACCCAAATTAGGCATCAATCAAACAACCTTTCAAATTGACGGTGATTTCGTAAAACTGTCTCTTTGCTTAGAGTTCTGAAAGATTTCAAATTTCCACATTGTCTTATGGAGAAAGGCAATAAATTGTAAATTTTTGGTCCTAAATAATTTATTTACTTTAGATTTAGATTGTTGTTGCTCACTGGTAGTTGTAAACTATTTTTTGCTCTGGTACGAGTGTTATGCTTATGGTCAACAAAATGCTGCAGTCATAGGCGTATCCAGGGGGGGGGGGGCTGCCGGGCTGCAGCCTCCCCCCCCCCAAGGCAAGTCTAGACCAATATTTTCCAGCCTAATTTATGTGACATGGGAATTTTTTTGTAGAAAAAATACAAATAAAATCTATTTCTCTCTACAATAAGGTTTTTCTATGGCGGGCGTCTAATGTGGCAAGGGAATCAGTGCTTCACCTTAATCACCTTGCATATCTGGGTCCTTATTCTTGAAACAGGGGAGCACTGTTGCCAGGAGAACGAGTTCCATAAAAGTTATTAGGCAACCAGGCAGGCTAACTCTGTCAAACAACCTTGATCTTTCTCAATATTTATGATTGTTCTTTATTTTGGTTTTGACTCGGGTTTTGATGGTATGGTAGTTGAAAGTTTAAATCAAAATTGAAAAAGATGAAGATGAGCTATGTTTCCGTTTCCTGTTATCATCAGTTAACAACAACCTACACAACTCAACTAGCCCCTATTTTAGTTCATAGTGGTGTTTATTTCTTTCTGTTCTTTAAACGTTTACTTCCAGTTTAAAGAAAAAAGAACGTAAGTAATTTTTTCTACTGACATTTCATAATACGCTATTAAACGATTAAAATCTGTATCATAATGAACTTCATTATGATACAGATTTTTATTATAATACTGATTTTTAATATCATACAATGTAGATAGATGGCACCACCAGTTAAGATATTAAACATTTTAAACGGTAATTTTGCGTAAAACAATTATTTTGATGACTATAAAAAAGACTTCGAATTGTTTAAAAGTTATCTAAAGTTTGGGACAAAGAATAATTATTACGGAAATAATGAGTGATAAGGAAGAATTTTTACTTTTTTCATTATTATACATTGTCAATAGATGGCGCCAGCCGTTAAGAAATTTTGAATTTTTTTTGGTGTGTGGACCGGGTGCGGCGTGCACTCCACATAAACAGGAGAGACGTTCTTCCTCCAACAAAACACCACACACTAAAATATTTTCAAATGAAAAATAACTCAAATAGCCAAAACCGTTAGAAAAACTTAGAGGTATTTGCTTGATTTACTCCTTCTAATATAGATTTAGCCAAATAATGGCTCGATTCTAGAAGAGTTTTATTAATTTGGTCAAATATTTGATAATCGTAGCAAAAATTGGATAGAAATAGTTATATATTTGATTGTTTTCAGTTCACTGTTTTTTTCTGTTTTCTAAATTTCAGTAAATTCTATGAATAACTTAATCCAGACAGAAATACATTAATTTAAAATATCATAGATATTAAGCATTTATTTTATTGATCCCATCAAAACCATATAGATCAAAAGTAAATTAATGCCCATATTATTCTGTGTTGAAACCTAAAATATTTTAAATCAATGTACCTAGTAATTCATTCCTAATTGATTTGATTTGGAAATGTATAGATCTGTGAAATATGTAAAAAATTTCACTATGATGCTTGTTGAGATAACTTTGATGGAACTTATTCTACCAGACACTCACTAGGAATCTCAATTTCTCAAATTGATCTTGTTGATAAATCAGATATTATCCTTTAGTCAAACTACTATCAAATACAGCTAAAATAATATAATCTAAGAGTTAATTTGAGCAAATTTCTTGCGAAAATTAATCATGGGAGGTACATCAATTCAATCTTTAATGTTTGATTGATTTAAGAAAAGCGTTTTCTGTAATCAATCTAAATTTTGATGTCCCAAGAAAAAAATTGATGAGATTTAGCAGTTTAAGCATAAAAACAAGAAAATTGTATCTATTGATATTAATTTCAATTTGATGTTATTAATCGTAAGCGAAATTAGCAGATTAATCTTAAAACGCTAATATTTATCAGTTTTTTTCTTGTTTTATTCCATTTTAGATTAAATTAATTTATTTGGCATAGATTATGGTATTTCTTATTTCAATAAGTCAATTTGATTCATTTTAACAAAGCATTTCTTTCCGTGTGCAGTTGGAGTTCATTAACATTAACATTTTTTGTTCCCTGTCGTGCTAATCGCTGAAACCCAAAATACAAAATAGGTCCAAAACGTAAACCCTTTTTTTATCGATAGTTTTTCTTCGTTATTATCGATATATCGATAGTTGGATTCTTCGATAGTTTCCCACCTCTACGCTGCTCTTCAGTTTCAAGAATGGGGACCCTGAAATACTTCC